TGTTTAGCTTTGGAAAAGTAATTTTACATACAATCATCTTCTAAACCGTCCTGGTATCGTTGTTTAGGTTAGTGTACGGACATGTTGCATTCGTACTACTTCAACTAATTATAATGACTCAACTGTCGTAATAAGGTACAGGTGGTACCAAGTTGCTAGATGAACAGCCTCGTTCTAGACTGTTTGAAATCCAACGACACACATCCTAACCTCTGCTAGACTGTCGCTCATCTTCTGCTTTGGTTAGGGACGGCGCTACGACGCCACCTCCTCAAGGCCTCCTTCTTGTTTTGTTCCTCTTATCGGGCAGCTTTCCCTTAAAAAGAACAACAACATGGGGCGTATCGAATCTTGGCTCTTGTTTTTGAGAAGTCAACTTGTAACGTGGGGCTTTCGCCGCGCTTTTGAAATTAAGTAATAAACGATAACATCATGCGACGAAAATCTTTGGTCGCGAACCCCGCGGCAGACAGCAATCAGTTTGGCGCTCAAAGCGTCACACAATGGACGAGTTGCTCGGAGGTACAAAAAGGCGTGGCGCGATCGCGTCGCGCCGTACTGTGCAATCCCCAAGCAAAGCAGAATGCTTTGAGTGACGGGCGCTTCCTTCGACAGTCGTGAGCGAAACGTACATGCAGCACAGAAGCGGCACTCCCGGGAGGTTTGTGACGACATGACACTTTTTTAGCGCAGTGTCGTCCAACGAAAACTGTAGCAGTATGCCCTGTACCCAGCCTCTGCTACCAGGAAGAAAAATCGAAAATTAGTACACGGTTCACTGTGAAATGTAGTCGTCGGTTTACGGGAAAATTTCCATGATGTATGTCGTAAAATTAAAATTTTAAATTTACAAGCACAATAGTATTATAAAAATTTTTGGATTCAGTTGCCACTCGAAAAAGATAACATCTCTTGAGTGCTATTCTCACCCCTACTACTTGGGGATTACTTTGGCTGGTGGTTGAGAGCCGTCTGGACTGGTGACGCCACCAGTGGCAAAGGAAAAATAAATGTCGTCTGTCGGTCTTCTTTGTTGAAGGATCACACTACGCTATGCTCCGCGCGAGAGACTTCGCGCTGTGATCTATTCGCCTGAAGTATGCCATAGCATTGGCAAGTTTATAGAGTCTCATAAAAAACAATTTCGACACGACGGCGCATTTCATTCTAATGGGACACCACTAGCGGGTGGCATGCACGGGGCAGTGCATCGGGTGCACCGCACCCCGCAGCGCCACAGCGGGACTTGGGCGCGCTCGGGGTCACAGTGCGACGACTTCCGTGTGGGGGCGGCGCGGGTGGGGTCGGAGCCCGATATGGAAATGTTCATGGCTGCTTAACCCAGACAGCCCGAGGAGCGACTCTCCGCGGGTAAATATACCTCGCCGATACGGGGCCATGCCGCCACGACACGCGTCCTCACGCGCGTGCCGTTCGAACCGTCCGGCGGGAGGCTGGCTAACGCCGGCTAACGAGAGACTGACTGGTGTTTGTAATGAAGTAGACTGTTTGTCTTTGCTTATGACTTGCTTGCCCTTGCCCCCGGCATGCTCTGCTTTGGCCTCTCTCACGCGGTCGGCGTGCGGCTGCCGGTGCGAGAGGGGGAGAGCAGGAGGAAGAGAGAACGAGGAAGCGAGGACGCGAATGACGGGGGAGAGGGAGAGAGACACTCCGTCATTTACTAGTCCCTGCCGCACAAACGTAAACAGAGGCCGTTCGGTTGCGTTCAGCAACTTGTCAACTTGAAACTTAGTTTGCTTGACAAAGTTACAACCTGACTGCCTGAGCAATGCTGCCCCTGGGCCCCCGCCCCTGGGCCCCCGCCCCTCCCTCCCGCCAGGCACGCGCTGCCGCGCTGCTTGGTCACTTCGGCGGCTCCGCCGTGTTGACTACACGGAACTGTTTCCGAGAGTAGTGCGTCGTTGAGGTGGGGCGGGGTGCTCGACGGTCGCTGTATGGATAATAATGATCTGTTGGGGAGCGGTGGCGGGGCGTGGCGGGG